GCAATCCTGAACCTGGAACCCTCATCCATCACCACCATGAAGTTCTGATGCTCCTGGGTCTTGGGGTGTAACCAGTGCCCTATGTCCGCAGAAATAGTATGAAACTTCGGGGGAAGTGGTTCAAGGGAGGCCACTTGTCGTGGTTGCACCTTGCTTCTCTCTTGACACACGGAACACGTAAACTCCTTGGCAAGTTGGATCACCAGAGGTTTGGCGTTTCTCCGTTTCAAGGCTTCCACCATGTGTCGAACACTTCCATGCCCGGTTGCTGCATGTAACAAGTACAACTTTCGTTTGATGGCTTCATGTTCCTTATTCACTTGGGCCTTCAGGGGTCCTGTCCAAGGGCCTCGAGCCTTCACTACCATGGCCTCGTCCGTCGGAGGCCTATGGGGCACGGGAAAACCCAAATCCTTCAAAAGACCCTGAACTTCCGAAGAAACCGCATCCCATCCCCGACTCACGAAAGCGCTTAGTACAACCCGGTCTCCATGCCATGCCTCCGTGGCGTGCCACTTCTTGGCATCGAACTGCACCACTCGGTGCCGTGTCTCCACCACATGTCCCAGGGTGGATTGCCCGTTGGGTAGTACCTTGGCGCGGGTGATCTGATGGCTGTTCTCCGGAGGGCCCTCTATCCAGAGTCCTCCGTTCTGGTATGCGGTCACTCCTATCACGCTGTTGAGGTGGCCGGGTCTATTGTGGTTGTCTTTGTGCAACTTCAGAGTTCCGTTGTCGTTGATGACAAAAGACGTACACTCCAGGGGTTTCTTGGACCAGTGCTGCAAATATTGAAGGAGGTATTTACAGGTCTTTGGGAACTTCAGGGTGCATTTGGTCACTCCGTAGTGGTTACCATACGCATACAGGCCAAAAGACAAGTACCTCGCATGATCCTCTTCCAAGATGCTACGTTGTTGTTTGTGCCTGTTTTGGGGCAGCATTTGAATCACCTGCTCACACATCTTGTGCTGATACTGGCGTTGTTCCATAAGCTTTTGGGCTGTTTGTTCCACCTCAGCTACCTGGGCCTCCGTGTAAAACTCCCTAGTCCCTGAACCCAAGACAAAAGCGTCACCTGACCTGTCCTGCCCTTGCGCCTCCTCACACCCTTCAGCCTCCATCACTTCCGAAGTCTCATAAGCCTGCGCCTCCGAAGTCTGAACATGCAACCGTCCCTTTATGCAATTCGCACACTCCTGTTGAATCCTAGGCAGACAAACATCCCCACACGTACAGAACTCCCCTTCTCCGAACCCTGCCACCAACGTGGTGTTTCCAGTACACTCCCTGACTGTCGTTTCAAACGACAGTTCCTGGCATAGGTGGCGAGCTACTCTCTGAGCATATTCCTTGGTGTAGGGAAGTTCGGGCTGTTTGGGCCCTCCGGTACACGTTCCATGCTGGTAGTTACGGGGACACCTACAACCTAGGTCAATACCTTCAGACAGTTGTTTGTGGGTGGTTATGATGCGCCAGCCCTGCCGCACCAACAGGCCCTTAGCCTGGTCGCGGCAATTGACCGCACATCCCTTGGTTACGGCAGTATACAGGTCGTATTTGTTACGAAGCTGGTTCAGGAGGGGAAGTCTCCAGGCCTGGCTTTGTTCGGGCATCTCCCAGCTCACATGTATACCCAACTGTATGCACAAATGAACCACGCAGGCACAGGCCACATACCGTCGTAGCGCCTCGTGGCGCTTGGCTTGGAGCTCGTCGCGCTGCGCCTCCGTGCGTTGATGCATGTTGGTCAAAGGACTGTGGGCGCCCGCAGGTGGTGCAAGCCATACATGTTGAGGTTGTTCCACTCGAATCCGGTCTAGCAGTAGCCTTAGTCCCTCCTTAGTGAGCATGTCACATCCGTTCCACGGACCACTGTGCACTGCTGCGTCTGAGCTTTTTGCACGCTCTTGCACGGCCTGCATGAGCATGGTATCTGGTCTATCACTGTACTGCAGTAGCACGGGACGATTATAGCCCACCAGGTCTTGGAACAAACTGGGAACTACAGAGGCCGCCTTAGCTTCTAAGCTCCGGGCTTGTTGCTCACTAAGCTGCTCCACCTTGGGTTTACGGATACTAAGCTGCTGGCTTAACTGCTGAGAGGCACTAAGGCGGTTACCTGGCCACTCGTCCTTTGCTACTCCTGCCGTAGGCGCATTCACTCCTGTGGTGTCGTACGACTCGGCGGCGGCGTTCCGATCTTGAAGAAGGAGGCATCCGACTGGCTGCTCTCTGCCATCTCGGCGTCTGGGCCAGCTCGGCTGCCCTGTTTCCGCATCTTCTCGCCCTTGATCTCCTTCAGCTCCGACTTGATCTCCGCAAGGACCTCGGTCAGGGCCTCGATCTTGCGGTCCTGTGCCTCCACATGCTCGGAGCTGCTGCTGGCCGCCCCGGGTGACATCCTCGCACCGGGTGTGGACATGTAGCCCTTGCTCATCCGCTTTGGCGTGGCCGACGCTGGGATGCCACGTGTCTTGGCCTGGCGTCCGTCCAGGTTCTGAGTCTCCAGCCACCGGGCCAAGCGGTACAGTCTCGGATCGCACCCTGTCGTCGGATTCTCCCGGGCCGTAGTCATCACCCATTTCGCGTAGTTCTCGTGCTCGGGGTCCAGCATGTCGACATACTGGAGGTAGCTGTGCTTCCCAAATCCGATGGCATCCCCGGACTCCGGCTCCTTGCTGTCGTAGATGATCTTGAGCACCCGGGCCTCCAGGATGGCCACTGTATCGTTGCGGTTCACCGTCATGTGGTAGGTCTCCTCGCAAAGCTTCACTAGGTCGGCCTTCTTCTTGGCCGCCTTGCGGACCTCGCGAATGGCCGCCTGCGTGGTGGTCAAATCCGTGCCGCGGTGGAGGTCCTCCACATTGACATTGTGCAACTCGAGCAAACGCTGGCGGATATCCACCTTCGTCCACTTGTGGTAGGCGTGCTCGTTGAACTCCTCGTACAAATAGTTCCGCAGCTGCTCCTTGGTCATGTGGTTCAGCTTGTTCAGGTTCAGGGCCATGAGGGGCACCGCAAGGACAAGCTGGGCAAGGTGCGGAAAAACGTTCTTGACAAGAAGACTGCTCGTTGACGTCGTCACTGCTGGTTGTGGCATACACATTGGGAGAAGCAGATTTGTCATTACTCACCTCAAACCTAACAACCTTACCATTCCTGTTCACAGCACTCTGTACATTACTGGAAAGAGGATTGGTTTCTACCCCATGTTCCGCTGCATGAACGGGACCCTTCGTTTTCTCCGCGGAACAAGAGTAACGAAGGAGCTGTCCCTAGCCCTCTTCAGCCAAAAATTCCTTCAGGCTGGGAATCGCGCGATTGGCGTCCTTGGCCTTAGACATGATGTCCTCTGTCATCGAGATCAGCTGATGTCCCGTGGTGGACCTCTCCACCTGCACAATCTTGTGCGCATCTAGCTTTCGGAAGCAGATCATGTCCTCTTCAAAGTCGACGATGGCCCCCAACTTCCGGAGAGACTCCACGCTCAAAAGCAGGGGTCCGCTTCCTTGATCTAAGCAGTGCACCTTAAGTGCACCCGGTACTTTGTTGGCGGCAATCTTGAGCAAGACCGTCGAGGCACACTGATTCTCTGACCCATTCCCAAAGCCAAACACGGGGCGATCCCCCAAGTCCACAGAGGACACACCGTTATGTCCACGCTTCTTGTGATTTATGGACATGATGGCTTCCATGGCGGGCACTGACGCGAGAGTCCGCGTCGCCCCGCCGTCAATCACCGCCATGCCATTCTTCACCGCTTCCGCTGTTGTGAGGCCGGTCACGTAGGCGGCCTCGGGCTCCCCGTCCGCGTAGCAGATGAAGGAGGACGTCGCGTCCACCTGGTCCGTGACCTTCGCGCTCTGTGTCGGCTGCGGGCAATTCGCTATGCGATGCCCCACCTTTCCGCAACCGAGACAGGTCATCTGCGAGTCATCTCTCTGACCTGCACCGCGTCCACGTCCTGCTCCTCCGGTTCCGCGGCCCTGGGGTCGGTAGTATTGGCGGGCCAACCGAACACTGTGCTGGCGAGCTCGTGCGGCTCGCAAAGTCCTTTTTGCGTGCTCCATGGCCGCCATGGCCTGCTGCGCCTCATCCTCTGCCCCTGCCCACATGGCCTGCTCGTCCTCGTCCATCTCCATGTCGGGCTCGAGCTCCGTGTCATCATGGATCTCGGTCTCGGCCTCATTTTGGGCCGTGTCTCCCCAGTAGCCGCTGTGGCGTCCACTGGCCTCCCGACGTCGGGTCTCCTGGCCTGACCACTGATTGCGTAGCTCCTGGGCCACCCGTTGTAGTGAGAAATCTCCACCCAGGGCTGCCATGATCATATTCTTCTCCCCGGGTTCCAACCCGGAATCTTGTAGCAGATACCATCCCTGCACAAAATCCGGAAGAAGCTCGGGCACCGGTGGGCGAGCATCCGAGGTGCTGGTGTGCCACGCTGGGGGCGACCACTCCCAGGATCCATACCACTGGTTGTGGTAGCCGCCATAGCCTTGGTACCACCATGGTGCGGAAGACCACCAGGTCTCACGCCGC